GCCAGGCATAGGCTACTCTCCCTCAGAGCTTATCACACTGCAGTGATGCCACAGCAAATTAACTCCTTCCCTTTAGCTGCTCCGTGATACAAAAGGCACTTACCCAGTAGACATGGGAATTCTGGGCTTCCTGTCAAGAGAAACAAAAGACTTTAGCAGCTGCCCTTGGACACGTGGTGCCAAAAACCTCTTCAGCTGTCACCGCAGCACCAGCACAGGGGCTCTCACTCCGTGCCAGGGTGACGCAGGCAACTCACATGAGCACAGACAGCTGCTCTCTGAGGCCTTCCATCAGCAGAGCCTGGCACTGGCTCTGCTCTGCTGTAATCATGAGCTGGGAGATTTGCAAGGATCTCATGACAACCCCCAGGGTTCATCTCCATGTTAATTACACTCTTTCTACAGATCTAGAAACACCCCTTTCCTTGCCTTCAGGCACCTGTTTTTCTGACAAACATCATCTGCACTCCACAAAAGTTGGAAATCCACACCAAAACGTGCACCTGCCACAGCCCAGGCTCCCAAAGAGCCATGCTCAGAAATCACAAACTGCTGAGGGAATTCCCAGCTCTCCCACTCAGGAAGGAGTCTGTTGGAGCCACATTATTTTGGATGGTCCACATGAAGTTCTGTGCTATAAAGAGCACATGGTTATCAGCTAAATTCAGAAGGCTTTAGCCAAACTAGAGGCAGGAAATGGGCAGGGAACCACAGCCCATCACTGGGAAGGATAAGCAGACGTGTCTGTTGTTATAGAGCAGATGGCCCCAGTGTCACCTCACTGGCAGTAACAGGACCAATTCCAAAGTCTTCCCAAATATCTTGCTAGCACTGTTGTGCAGAACATTACAGGCTATTTCTCATCCTACTGATAAGCAGCAAAAGCCAATATGCAGGAGCTGTTCTCCACAAATACATGACAAAACAGTTTCATGTTTATACCCATGAGAACAAAATGGCAACTGTGGTTAAATGTCACTTCTCCAGTAAGCAGAAGGTACCTTCAGGCAGCAAACCAGTCTTACAAAAACAAGCCAGTGAAACAAATGGCAGAATTACCAGAGCAGCAGACACTTACCCTCATGCCCATGTAGAAGGGGATAACAGTGACACGGATGTTCTCTGTGGTTTCTCGGTGCACATCCGAAAGCTCCAGCCACGGGTGGTTCTTCTCCTGCCACGCACACAGAGTGTCCCTTGCTACAAAAGGTGGGACTGTGGGGAGGGAAAGGTGAGAGGCAACACTGTAGCTGGAGTGCTCTCCCCTCAACACAATTCCTTTCACGTGGGTAAAAATAATATTCAAAGGTTGCTTGACTGTAACAAACCCCAAGCTAGACATGATTTTTATACCATATCCAAGATGATGGGGTTTGGGTATTTTTTATAGAGCACTGCAAGCATCTGGCTCTGAAGAATTCCCTGTGAAGACAGAATTTACCTTTTGTTTGGTCGTACATGAGGAACCTCTCAAAGAGCTCATGCTGGATGGGCACTTGATCAGTGGAGCTGTAGGGAAGGATGTCTTCATGGCTTACATAGTCTAAACCTGAAAAAGAAACCCCAAAAGCTATGGTACTTCCCCAACAGAGAGCAGCTCAGAAGTCTGGCAGAAAAATTGATCATACTAGTGAGACAAAAGGACTTAGGCAGCAGAAGTCAAAGCTAGTATCACTACTGCAATGAAGAATGGAGGAGATGTGCCAGGAATAACTCTTGGCAGTGCTCTCCTGTGAGATTTTCCATGGAGTGACTCCTCTGATAAACACACACTGCCCTGCAAACTGCCTGCACTGCCCCAAAAGCACTCTGGGCAGGAAATGCCCAGGACAGGAATAAATCCAGCTGTCCTGACGACAAAGTAGAACAGCCCATATACAACTTGGTACGGGATCTATGTCTCAAGAGCTCAAATCAAACGAGGCTGTGTCTGATCACAGAGGACCCAAAGCTATGGACAGATCCACTACAGAATGTCCTGTAGGAATTGCTGCTTTAGGGGTTGACCACTGATACCTTTTCCACCTCACCTCATACCAAGCAGAGGCTGCAGGAGGATTTCACTCACCTGGGATGGCATAGAGGGCTCTGCTGTCATCATGATTTGCCAGGAACGTCACTGCCTCTGTCTGTGATCTCTGGGACTGAGAAACAGGGAGGTTTATGTCTTTCTGTGTGCACTGCTGCAGGACAGCTTCCAGTCATATTTCAGCTCATCAGTGTGGTTTATAAAGCACGTAATGTTTATTTCATTTAACTACTTCACCTCAGAACTTCTCTCCATTTAATTCCTCTGGGCTAACTCCCCACTCAAACAAGTGAGAAGCATTTTCAGTGCTGCAGCCCACATTCCTAATGACCTGTGTGCAACAGTGTGGGAAGAGAACCAGGAAGAGGAAAGGAGGTTGGAAAGGGGAAACATGAGCCAGAAAACAGCCGTATGACATTCCAGGTGATTTCTCTCAGGGAAAACATGCCTTGAAGAACAAACTTATCCAAAAATCCTAACCAATCCAGTTAGCCACCGAAGCAATTTTCCTTCAGTGCCCGTCCCTTTGAACCACTCATGTAGGAGAAGATACTCAAGTTTCAATGCCAAGATTACTCATTACTTACTATATGTGGACAATCCCGGGCATCTATTAACACCTGGTAGTAAGTGTGTGTTTTACCCTTGACCTCTTTGGAACCATGGCCTGCCACATTCTCGCTCCTAAAGAGAAAAGCAAAGCTCTGAGCTCAAGCCCAGGATGGCAGCAAATTCTTGTTACCAGGACCAAGCATTTATAAACAATCTTTTTTTTTTTTTTTAAGCCACATTTTGCAGCCTGTAATCATCTGGTTGCACCCAAACCAGAGCCCCACGTGCCACCCACACAATGACAGATGAGCTGAGATGACCATCAGTGGTGTTTGACACAGGCACAACAGCTCAGAGGTTGTTCCTGCTCAGTGTAGGCTCCTCTCTGGGGCAGATATTCCTACTGCCCTCTGATTTTCTCTCTGATCCTCACTCCTTCCCAGCACAACTCATCACAGGCCAGGGGAAACACAGATGCAAGAGGGGAGAGGACTGAATAGCAAGTCAAGAAGGATGAACTTGGCTTAGAGGGTTGAAGTTGAGGAGGAAGCTGACAAATCCAACCCAGCAGCCTCCAAATGGTAACACGGGAGCCTGGAGCTAACTCAAAAAGAGTCTTTTTGTATAATACAAAATGTCATTAGCATCATTTTTTAATTTATTTTTATTTCCTCCATACACACACTTTCATCTTTCATACTTCCATCATGTCTCCAATTAATATTCAATAATGAAGTATCTCCTCTTTAATGACCTCTCATAGTTTGCACTCATGTAAACAGGCCTATGCCATTGCCCCTCCTTAAAAACACTTGTTTACCCCAAATAGGAAACTCACTACAAAATGTAAATCTAACAGACCAAATCCTCAAATCCTTACTTTTCTGTGACAGGAGAAGCCACATCCCGATCATAAAGCCTGGCTTGCCAGGGAAACAGGACTATTCCTCGATAGCCAAACACACTGTGAAGGAAGAGCTGGAAGGAACAAATAATTGCAGCTGAATTATTTTTTAAATCTGTTATCTGAGGTAAAACTAAAAACATTCACGAAAGGTTTAATATGTGGGATGGGGATACAGGGAGAATCATCACTGTGATGACCCAGAGCAGAAAGAGGGAAACAGTTTGGGATGGGAGAAGAAATCCATGTCATCTCTATCCCATAAAAGGGAAGGACTAAACCAGCAATGCAGTAACAGAACAGAAAGGAGAGACTGCTGACAAACAGATCTGAGAGTCTTAAGGACACAAATTACGAGTTTACCTCTTATTTCTCAAATTCACTGATTATCTCTTTGGATCCTTGAGGGAGAAAACCCTGAAGTAAGACAGTGGAGCAAATGCCACTGTACAACAGTTGTGTTGTGCTGCTGATTTTTATCAAGCTGCTATTGTCAGATGACTGACAAACTGCAGACACAGCACAGACAAGGAGCACCGAGCTGTGAAACTCCTGGCCTTCTGCTGCTAACTTCTCCTTACAGGAAAAATCCTTTGGCTGCCCAATCCCTGCTGCACAAGGCTGCAGGATTAGTTGTGCCCCGCCAGAACCCCTTACCTGGCCTGTCTCGTGTTTCCCCCCAGAACCCCTTACCTGGCCTGTCTCGTGTTTCCCCCAGAACCCCTTACCTGGCCTGTCTCGTGTTTCCCCCAGAACCCCTTACCTGGCCTGTCTCTGTTTCACCCCAGACCCCTTACCTGGCCTGTCTTGTGTTTCCCCCAGAACCCCTTACCTGGCCTGTCTCGTATTTCCCCCCGAACCCCTTACCTGGCCTGTCTCGTATTTCCCGTGCTGCTTCGGGGCCTCAAACACCCCCACGGTCTCCAGCACTTTTCCCTCGGGACGGTTCCTGGGAGCAGAGAGGCAGCTTGGAGGGTTTGCAGGGGCTGAAGCAGCCGCCAGCCCAGGGGAACACCGCTGCCCACCTTGTGTGTACCCCACAAGAGCCCCACTATGCACTGTACAGCCCATTCCTTCCCCTGCCCTCCACCTTTCACCTCTCCCCACTGCCCTGGACACCCTCACGCAGTTGCTCCTTTAGCCAAATCCCCCCTCTCCCACGCCTGCACCCTGACATCCCCCCAGCGCCTCAACACACCCCAACCCACTCACCCCCTCCAAACATCCCCCTGCCCTCACCCAACCCCTCACAGGCCTCACCGCGACGAGAGGTGCCGCCTGGGCGGCAGCAACAACGGCGACACCGCCGCCGCTCCGCCGGTGCCCAGAGCCCGCAGATGGCGGGCGGGGGGCGGCTCCCAGAGCGGGGGCGGCCCGCGGGCCCGGGCCCGGCCCAGCGCCGCCGCCACGTACCGCCGCGCCGCGCCGCCCGACATCCCACCGCCCGCGGCCCACAGTGCCCCGCGCCGCCGCCGCCGCTCCGCCCGCTCCGCCGCGCTCCGCCCCGCCGTCCCTGCGCTTCCCCTCCCGCCCCTCCCGGTCACCCCGGCAACGCCGCCCGGGCCCAACATGGCGTCGTCGGTGCGGGCCGGGCCGCGGCTGCGGCGGGCGGTGCGGGCCGGAGAGCTGGCGGGGCTGCCCGCCGGGCTGAGGGGTGAGCTGGAGGCGGCGCTGGCGGAGGAAGGAGCGCTGGTGCCGTTCGGCCTGCTGCGGAGGCTGCACGCCGCGCTGAGGGAGGCAGGTAAGCCCTCTGCACCGGGATCGCACCGGGGTGGCACCGGGATCACACCGGGATCACACCGGGATCGTACCGGGATCGCACCGGGGTCGCACCGGGATCGCACCGGGGTCGCACCGGGATCGCACCGGGATCACACCGGGGTCGCACCGGGATCACACCGGGGTCGCGCCGGGATCACACCGGGGTCGCACCGGGATCACACCGGGGTCGCGCCGGGATCACACCGGGGTCGCACCGGGATCGCACCGGGATCACACCGGGGTCGCGCCGTGACCGCCCCGTGTCCGCCCCGTGTCCGCAGGGTCGGCGCTGCACTTACACGAGCTGCTGGAAGGATGCGAAATCCACCTGCCCGAGGTGCCGGTGCCGCCGCGGGTAAGTGAGGGCCGGCCGGGAGCCGCGGGAGGAGGCGGAGGCTCCCGCCGCTCACGGTGGGTCTGTGCCTCCCCCAGAACCCCGAGCTGGTGGCACGGCTGGAGCGGATCAAGGCCAAGCTGGCACACGAGGAGTACCGGCGGATGACCCGCAACATCACCGGCCAGGTGAGGGGCTGCTGCAGTGCCTGCTGCCAGGATTCATCCCTCAAACTCCTGAGAGCAAAGGAGATTTCCCCCTTAGAGTGAGTGCAGTGCAGTGATGCTCTACCTCTCTCAGCCCCTAAATTATTAGGCTAGCCCAGAGATACGGGGCCTTGAGGGGAGGAACATCAGGAGATAGGCAAAGATTCAAAAGAGGCTCTCACCCCGATGTGGCTGTCCAGCTTCTTTATTCCATGAGGTCCGGGGGGAAAGAGAGGGGGAAAGAGGGCAAACAGGAAGGGTCAAGGGCTTATTTAGGCTCTGGACAGGGAGGGCTTCTCTGGCTCTCTGCCGACCCCATCAAATGGGGAAAAGTACAGCCCGAGCACACCGTAACAGTGCAGGGGGAATGTGGCAGGCACTGGAGGAGAGCACACTGTAAACACACCAGGAACAACAGACGCGCTGTTGGGGACAGAGGCAGGACAGGGTTAACAGGGTGGTGAATTCGACATGCTGAGTTTTGGGAACTGCTCACTGTGCCAGAGATCTCAGGTTCTGTTCTGGGAGACTGAGCACGTGTTGTAAATGTTTGACTGGGAGCATCTGTGCTGGTGAAATTTTTGTCATAGTTTTAAAATTGCCTCATTCATGTCGAGGTAAAAGCTGAAAATACAAGATCATATGTGGGCACTTATTCTTTCCTGAGAAAACAGATTTTCTGGCAGGGTGAATGTTCAGAGAAGTCAGCATCCCTTCCTGCTGGCATTCCTTGGGATCCCATTCTGCCCTTCCATTCTGTACCTGGCATCCAGGTACACATTAACTCTCATGGGATGATCTGCTTTTCTGTTTGCCAAGATTTGACCTGGTTTAGTGAAAGGTGTCCTGCTCATGGCAGGGGCTAGAACAGGATGGTCTTTGAGGTCCCCTTCCAGGCCAAACCATGCTGTGATCTATAATCCAGGGCGGTTTTAGCAGAGCTTGTGCAAAATCTCAAAGAAACCTCTGTGCTGTGAAACTGCTGCTCCCCCACAGCCACTCACCCAAAACCTCAGAGTCTTTGGGACAGGACAGGGCATTGGCATTGCTTTTATTCTGCACACACAGTAATAACATTACTATTAACATGAAAATACAAGTGATCACAAGCTGTTTCAATCCCTTCTTTCAGGAGATGAACGGGCCATTGGCTGAATTGGGGAGGCAAGGTGAGTGGCTCCCTGTCCTGTTGACATGTGGCAGGTCAGGCATGGGAACTGTTCCGTCTCCAGCTGGTGACAGCCCTTCCCTCTCGGAATATCTCACAGAAGGTTTTCATGCACTGTAGTGTTTGTTGAATAAAGGAGCCTCTTGGTCATTCTTCCCAACATTTCTGGAGGCACCAAGCGTGTGACTCCTGTAGGATTACATCTCCCAGCTGAGGCAGCTGTGCATGATTACACCCTGTCTCCAGCCTTACCTAAAATCATCTCCTTCACCCTCTGTCCCCAGTTCGCTCCGTGAAAGCCGTTGTCATCACCATCTTCAACTTCATCGTCACTGTGGTGGCCGCCTTTGCCTGCACCTACCTGGGCAGCCAGTACGTCTTCGCAGAGACAGCGGCGGTGAGCGAGCCCAGCCCCTGGCAGCCCCCCTGAGCTAGCCAGGCCACACAGCCAGGGTCACCTCTCTCTCTTTTGTGTCCCCAGCGTGTCCTGTCAGCTGTCATTGTGGCCTCGGTGGTGGGTTTGGCTGAGCTGTACGTGATGGTGCGCACCCTTGAAGGGGACCTTGGGAAACTGTGACCATGAACTGCAGGCTTTGTGCTGGAGGATTTTGTCCTCCCCAGGAGCTGCTAATTTGGAACAGATCTTGTCTGTACCTGTTCCTGCTGTGGGAAGACTGCTGCACTCCTCAGGCTCGTCCTTTGCTTCCTGCTCCTGAAATGAATCGTGGGTTGGAAGTCCCAGAGCTGCAGGACAGGACAGGGAATGGCTGTGGACTCCAACCACCCCAGCAGGGAGAGGGGCATCAGCTCCTGCCATCCCTGTTCTGGGAAATTCCTGTCCTTTTATTCTGGGAATAAATAACACTATGTGTTTGTAACCTTCTTGCTGTGTTGTTAGGGTTTCTGTTGGTATGAGAAACATTGTTGTGGTGTCTAAGACACGGCTGAATGTGAATCTTCCCTCTCCCTCTGCATCCTGCTCCATCTCCTGTCCAAACCTTCCTGTGCCTGCACAGTGAGGGATGCACGGTGTTCCCAACCCCGTGCCAAAGGGTGCCCAGATTCTGGAGGCAGGGAGGGAGCACCCCTCAGCACTGAGCCCAGGGGTTTCTCAGGTGCTGTGGGACAGAGAGCAGAGCCAGCTCAGTGCACCCACAGCAGGGAGGGGACACCCACACCAGACACCTGCCGGGTGGGCGCTCTGCCAGGGCCAGACACAGTGATTAATGCTCTGATGGCAGCTAAGCCCCCCTGGAAACACGGTTTAATATCTGATCCAGGGAGATCTGCCAGCACCTGCGAACGCGCCTGTGGATTAGGGGCGGCCACGCCACAATCATCCGTGGATACGGCCTCAGATTAAGGTATTTTTTCCAAAAGATTAGTCGGTATTAGGGAGCTGATGGGGAGCTGCCCCTGCTGTGGCCGCACCGGCATTTAGGATATTGGATGACATCCTCGGAGCCTTTGGGACCGGCAGTAATTCCGCACCCTAATGAAATCGTGGCGCTAATCCGGGGGGGCCGCGGTACCAGGAGGGTCCCTAGAAGTCAGGGGTCCTTGCCACGGCTATGGCTCGCCCAGGTTGGTGATGGCCGCGCTGTAGATGAGGTCGGAGATGGAGCCCAGCGAGGTGGGGAGGCCCCGAGCGGGGCTGTGGGATGGCGGCGGCGGCAGGGCAGGGGCCGGGCACGGGATGCCGCCGTCGGGAGGTGCCGCGGGGGGACCCCGCTCCCCGGGCGGCGGCAGTGGCGGTAGCGGTGGCGGCTCCGGCTTGGCGCTACGGATCCTGCGGGCGCGGCGGTTCTGGAACCAGACCTGGGACGGGCGAGGGGAACTGTGAGACACCGACAGCGCCCCGACAGGAGGAGAGGGTACCCCGGGGGGGAAGGAGGAAGGGATGGAGGGGACGGTCCCGCCTCTGCTCACCTGGATCTTGGCCTCGGGCAGCTGGGTGAGCTCGGCCAGGCGCTCCCGGGTGGCGATGTCCGGGTAGGGCACGGCGGCGAAGGCTCGCTCCAGCTCCGACAGCTGCCCCCGGCTGAACGTGGTCCGCCGCCGCTTCCGCGGCCCCCCCGGGCAGGGACAGGGGCAGGGGCAGGGGCACGGCCCCGGGGCGCCGCCCCGACCCGCCGCCCGCCCGCCGCCCGGCCCGCCCGCCCCGTCGGGGAAGCGGAGCAGCGGCTGCGGAGCGCGGGAGGTACCCGGGGCCGCGCTCATCCTGCCCGGCTCCCCCGGGCCCGCCGCCGCCCCGGCTTTTATCCCCCCCGGATCCCCCCCGGCGGGCTGGGACCGCCCCGAGCGGGCGGTGCTGTCCCCCCCGAACCCTTCCCAAGGGCTCCCGGGGCCGGTCCCAGCTCCGCGCCCCCAATGGCAGAGTCCCGGCAGCCCCGACTGACTCCCCAGCATCCCCGGGGACCAGGATCCCCACCAGCTGCTCGTACAGCTCTCCCCTCGCCGCCGTCGGGGCACGGTGGGGCCCGTGAGGATTCCAGGGCTCGGGACCCCCCTGCCACCCGCCCCTTGCGCTCCCTCCCGGTCCCCGCCCTCCCCCGCTCGGCCCCCGCCGTGCGACCGCCGCTCTCCCGCAGGGCTGGCACCGGTCAATGTTTAACCGGAGCGGTGGTACCGGTTGTGCGGGGCAGCCGGGGCCGGCTGAGGGTGGCTCCCGCCGAGACCGGCCGGGCGCTGCGGGCACCCCGAGCACCGGGTGTTGGGGGGCGCATGGAGCCCGAGGGGGAGCGCGGCGGGGAACCCCAGCCGGACTCCCGGCCCAGAACGCTCCCACGGGGCCGGGAGAGACCGTAAGTTGTCGCGGCGACGGAGGAGACAGAGGCCACCCCATCCTAGAGCAGCAGGATTTGGGCGATGACTGCCCGACTGATACAGGCAGCGGGGGTGGCATCCCAAAAAGGCTGCGGGGGGACAGGACCGTCCTTCTGGCGACGTGGCGGGGACAGTGAGCTCTGTCTCCTGCCTCAGGGCACAGTGGGGGTGGGAGGACGGTGAGAGCACAGCATGACCGGGGGTCCCTCTACCCCAGCCTCCGGGGTGCCCGCGGGCACAACCCCCCATCTGGGGGGCACCCACCACCCTGCTGCCCTCTGTTCCCCAAAGGAGTCCTGGAGAGGAGCAGGGGAGGCCCGTGGAGGGCAAAGAGACGCGTCTGAGGGTGGTGCTAAGGTAAGGGGAGACGAAAGGGCTCAGGGACGCGGCAGGAACCTCGCTGCCTGGGGCGAGGTCACAGCGGGGCTCCCCAGGGTCCCCGTGCAGCGACACCTCTGTGTCCCCATCCACACCCCACCCTTAGGGTCCGGCCACTGACCTGCACGGAGACGCGGCGAGGTGACCAGCAAGTTGTGCACAGCCTCGGGGACGGCTCCGTGCACGTAAGTGCCACCTCCCCGTCGGGGTGTCGAGCTTGGGGAGGGCTGCGACACCCCCTGAGCCACCGCTGTCCCCACGGCCAGGTAAGCGCGGCCAGGCACGATGCCACCTTTGGCTTCAGCGCCGTGTTCGACGCCGGCGCCTCGCAGGAGGCTGTGTTCGAAGGCAGCGGGATGAGGCAGCTGGTGGAGCTGGCCATGGACGGGTGAGTCCCGGAGAGCCCCCCGCGGACCCCAACCCTCCATCCACCCCACGCCGGGCTTTTCCTGCGCGTTTGCACTGCCCGGGCTGTGTCAGGAGGTGGCATCGCTGTGCCACCGCCTGCGGCCCTGCCCGGCGCTCAGCATCTTCCACAGCTTCTCCTGCACCGTCTTTGCCTTCGGGCAGACCGGCTCGGGGAAGACCTACACCCTGATGGGACCCCTCGCCCAGGTACAACGCTGACCATCTCACCCATCCCGGCCGTGGGATGAGCTCCTCCCAGCCGGTCACGGTGCAGGCGGTGCCCGATGTGTTCATTCACCATCCTGGCACCTTTGCAGAGCGACACCCAGCCGGCGTCCCCGGCCCTGCTGGGGCTGATGCAGAGGTCCTTCACCTGCCTCCTGGAGCAGAGCCGGAGCCGTGGCTCTGACCTTGCTCTCAGCGCTTCCTACCTGGAGATCTACAACGAACAGGTAAGTGCCTGCCCAGCCACCCACTCCGGCCCTGCTGGCACCCTGTGCCCCGCTGCTCCGGTGCCTTCCCCCTGCCATGTGCCAGGTCCGGGACCTGCTGAGCCCGGGACCACCGTGCGCCCTGCCCCTGCGCTGGAGCAAAACCCGCGGCTTCTACGTGGAGAACCAGCTCAGTGTGGAATTCGAGAGCCTGGAGGCCATCGTCAGCCTGCTCCTGCAAGGTGCTGAGCCACAGGCACGGGGCTGGGACATGTTCAGGGGGTGCTAGACTCGGTATGGGGGGATTCAGACCCCGCAGACCATCCCAGGGCCGGTGGTGCTCTGATGGCAGCCAAGAGGAGCGGCTCCCCGTACAGCTGCAGAGCAGCTCTGGTCGGGCAGGGGTGCTGGGCAGTGGATGCTCTGGGGTTGGGGCAGGGATGTGGGGTGTCATGCAATCAATTCCTCGCCCAGCAGGATCCCAGAGGCGCCGGACCTCGGCACATGCCCTCAACAGGCACTCGAGCCGCAGCCACGCCCTGCTGACCGTCCACGTCCGCAGCCCAGCCGTGAGTGTGCATCCTGCTCCTGGGCAGGGCTGGGGGGCTCCGGGCTCAGCGTGGGGCTGCAGACACCCCCACGGTGGGGGGGTCATGCTCTCCTCAAGGATACATGGGTGGGGCTGGAGTGAGCAGCTGGGAATCCTATCCAAGATCCAGGAGTCGGGACAGTGCTCTCTGGCCATGGGGAAAGGGTGATGGGGGCCAAAGCATCACCCCACAACATGGTTCTCCAGGCCAGAGCGTGCCCCAGCAAGCAGGGCACTCTGTGCTTCGTGGACCTGGCGGGCAGTGAGCGGGTGAAGGAGACCGGCTCCAGCGGGGAGCTCTCGGTGGAGGCCAACAGCATCAACCGCAGCCTCCTGGCACTGGGTAAGAGCTGGGGAACCCGCCCTGGGAGTGTCCTGCTGCCCCCACTAGAGCCTTGTCACAGCCTCTGTGGCTCATCCTCCGGCAGGACACTGCATCTCCCTGCTGGCCAAACCCCGAGGGAAGCGAACGCACATCCCCTACCGGGACAGCAAGCTCACCCGGCTGCTGGCTCGCTCGCTGGGCGGCTCGGGCATCACCCTGATGGTAAAACCATTGAGGGGGCTGGGCAAGGGTCTCAGCCCTGGAGGAGAAGGCTGGAAAAGGATGGTGACCCTCTGGATGACAGTTTGCCTGTATCTCTTCCTTGTTGGCAGGTTGCCTGCATCTCCCCGTCCTCACGCTGCCTCTCAGAGACTCTGAGCACGCTGCACTACGCCAGCCGTGCCCGGAAGGTCACCACCAGACCCCTGGCCAACAGGGTATCACAGACAGAGAACCCCTCTGAGCTCCTCTGCCCGCTGCTGGGACCCCCCTGACACACCCCTTTATCCACCCACCGCTCCCAGGTGTCCCGGGAGAAGCTGCTGCAAACCTTGGAGCGAGAAATCCACGCCTTGCAGCTGGAAAACCTCTCCCTGCGCCAGCAGCTGTGCCTGCCCAGAGTGCCAGTGAGGAGCACGGAGGTCGCAGGGAACCCTCCCAAAGCATGGGTGGGCTCTGGAGACAGGTATGGACCACCAGAGGGAACCCCAGCCTGGCCCAGTCTCTACGGTCTCCTGCGGGACTTTGTGGTGGAGAACGAGCAGATGAGGTATGGGACACTTGTGTGGGAGCCCTGAATAGGGGATCAAGAGGCTGACAAGGCAGGCAGAGCCCCTGCCTGGGCACACCCTGCACCAAGCAGCCTCCCTCAGTGACTCTGTGGGGCTGGGCAGGGCTCTCTGGAGGCTGCCAATGCCCTGCTGGGCTTCCTTCCTGCTCCCCAGGCAGCCCCATCTGCGCCCACACCACAGCGGTGACATCCCGGCTGGCCCATCCCACAGAGCCACCCGCAGCTCCTGTGACAGCCAGCCCCTGCTCCGGAGTGCCCACACCCTGCACGTCCCCCACGGGCACTCGGTGAGGCACCAGCGGCCCGACACCACACCCAGCTCTGTCCCCCGGCTGCCGGTGAGAGTGGGGTCTGGGGTCTGCACTCATCCTGCCCGTGGCAGGCTGAGCGTGCACAGATCTCCCACCCACTGCCGTCCTCTCTTCCAGAAGCTCCCTCCTGCCTCCAGCCACCCCAGCTGCCCAGGGTGCCCACAATGCTGCCCTGGGCCAGCTGATGCCACCATGTTCCAGGTACAGCCCCAGGGGTCTCTTGGGAGGGGATGGCACAGGGGTGGCACAGCCACCTTGACCACTCTGCTCACCCCCAGGTGCTGCCAGTGCCTGCCGTGCCACAGCCAGTCCCCCCTGAGGGGAATGCTGGTCTTCTGCCACCTGGACAGGAGGACATGGCTGTGCCTGGCTCCCATCACCCCCACGGGCACCCCCAGCTGCACCAGAGGAAGCGGTGAGAGCCATTCCTTGGGCATCAGCTGCAGCTCAAGAGTTCCCTGGAGTTTCGGGGGATGGTGGGACAGTAGGTGAGGGTTTGTTCATGTGTCCTCATGGCAGGAGTCGTGGCAGGAGCAGGAGCTTGTCTCAGCAGCACGCGCTGCACCGGGAGCTGCCAGGCCCTGAGCACGTCCCCAGCTCTGAGGGAAGGGTCATCCCTTCAGCACCGCCCTGGCCAGGGCTGCCAGAGCCCAGAGGTGAGCAGGACCGTGCTGGGAGACCAGGCAGGGCCTCGGATGGGCACCCATCCCTCCACGTGCACTGTGGGGGGCTCTGCACTGATCCTGGGGAGATGGAGACCTGACCCTGCTGCTCCTCGCTGGCAGCTGCTGGCACCGTCCCTCTCCTCCAGTGGGAAGAGGCACTGGACTGGCTGGCAGAGCAGATCTGAGCTGCCACAGGCACAGCATGGATGGGGCCAGCGTCAGGGATCTGGCACAGACCAGGGGGACAAACAAAGCCTCAGGGGCATGGGACCTTGGACTGCAAGGACTGCACAAACCACGGCGCAGACGGTTGGATGGATGGACAGACAGAGCTCTCCAGCCTGCATGGCTCTCACAGTTTATTTCTGTCTAGCTGGGGCTGTCCTCCTGGCGGCTCCAGGGATCCCCTCAGGTGCTCTCCTCCCCGGGCTGGGGGCAGTCCAGCCAGTACTGGGCGATGGAGCGGGGGTAGCGCGGCCGCACCAGGTCCACGCGCTTGGTGCGCAGGTTGGCACGGTAGTACTTGTCTGGGGAAGGGGACATGGCCATCAGGACTGTCCCCAGCTCTGGGGAGCTGCCAGTACCTTCCCACTGCACCCCAGAGCCATTGCAGAGAGAGAGGAGCCCTCCCCATGCCCCGGCAGCCCTGGTCCTGCATCATTCCCAGACCCTGCCAGACCAAACTCACCTCCTACAAAGAAGTAAACACTCTGGAGCATCTCACACGTGGAGCCCGACAGCCCATCCGTTTCAACACCTGCTGAGTCGGGGTCATTGTGCAGCCAGCTCCAGAAGCCCAAATTCAGCGAGCGGTGGTGGTTGTACCTCTTGCGCTGACGGCGAGACTTCCTCCTGCGGGGCTCCTGGGAGGCCACGTAGATGCGGCCGGCCATGGCAGCGTCCAGCCGGCTGGGCACCCCCCGCCAGTCCCGGCTGATGTACCACGGGCCGTTCGCCCCGGCTGGAAAAGGAGCAGAGGGTGAGCGAGAGGGCGGCAGCGTGTGGGGTGAGCTGAGCCCACCCCACAGACAGCACCCAGCACGCGCTCCGAGACCCAGAGGAGTGATCTGAAAGATCCCAGCCTGGATGGGATGTGTGACAGTGACACAGGCCAGGCTGAGCCAGGAGTGGTCCCCCACCCCCTTGGCTGAGCCCCCTTCTCCTCCTCTCTTTCATTCTCCCTGCCCAGGGCTGGGGATTTCCCGTGGCATCTCCAGCTCCAGTGATAATAAACAGTCCCCAGCAGTGACACTGTGGTGTGAGGCGGTTGGTGATGGGGATTTGGGATGCAGTGGGAGGTGCATGGCCTGGGCAGGATGTGACAGCTCATCCTGCCTGCCCTTGCTTCCAGGCATCGCTCCCTCCTCCCTGGGTGTCTGCATGCCTTGTGCCCTGTCAGTGCCCACTGTTGGGACCCTCCAGCCCTTCCCCGGGGCTGGCCCAGCCCTTACGCATCCTGCCACCAAAGAGGATCTGGAAAACATCCTCCCAGCTGTCCCGGTTCATGAAGGCGTAGTGCTTGAACACCGTGGAGGGGGAGGACTTCTCGCAGTCGGCCTGCGTGGGCTGCTGGGCAAAGTCGTAGGACCAGTAGTACTTGTCTAGGAGAGGATGAGCAGGGTGTTAGGGGGGGACAGGCACTGAAGGGGTGCCTAGCCTGTGCCCAGTGGTGCCAGGCTCTGCCAGGAGCAGGGGCTGCCCCTTACCCTTGAAGAAATAGACTCTCTCATTGCCGTGGTAGCTGTGGGCAGGGAGGGCGAAGGCTGCGTCCACGTTGTTGGGAATGCCCTCAAAGCCCTCGGAGATGTCCCGTGGGTACCCAGGGTCCAGGGCTCCGTCATCAAAGCGCCAGTACTGGGTGCCCTGAGGGGTGGGGGACAGAGAGGGGTTACAGGTGCAACATCCCCCAGCCACAGGTCTGCCAGGAGGAGGGAGTGGATGTCGGGGAGCCCCATCACGGGGCTGTGGTCGCTTGGGGTCCCAGAACAACCACAGGGATTTGGGGTCTCTGGCAACCACGGCGTGTATGGGTGTATGGGAGGTGCCAGAAGGGGATATAGGGTGGGTTGAGGTGCTGTGCTGACCACCCTGGGAGTGCCCCCAGCCCTGCAGCCCACCTTGAAGAGGTAAGTCTTGCCCTGGCAGTTGATGCGTGTGAAGGCTGCATCGATGGGGCCCTCGATGCCCCAGACATCACTGATGAGCTTGGGGTAGCCAGGCCTCACACTGGTCTTGTCCAGCTCATAGAAGTACTTCCCTGGGGAGAGAGGAGACATAGGGGAAGTGCAAGGGACTGCAGACACAGCACAGGGTGCCAGCATGGCAGCATGTCCCACGTGTCCCACAAAGTACCTCGGAAAGCATAAAGGGAACCATTCTTCAGGTCGGTGAAGGCATCAAAAGGTTTCCCGCTGCACAGCTCTTCAGGCTCCTCAGACACTTCTGGGGTGGTGCTGGGCACCTCTGTCAGTGTCTCCTCGGGGTTTGGCTTGCTCTCTGGGGTGGTCTCCACCAGCACTGGGGCTGTGGGCAGCTCTGTGGGGTCAGCCACGGGCACCTCTTCCGTGACAAAGTCGACGGTGAGGTTGTAGTCCAGGTAGTCGTCCTCCGGCAAGGCAAAGACATCTCCCCGGGTCACTGCAGGAGGGAGCAGGTTGGTTCCCACTGGGTCTGGGTGCAGGAGATGTTCCCTCCCAGGCAATAGAGATTTACAGAATCATGGAGTCAATAAGGTTGAAAGAGACCTCTAAGATCATCAAGTCCAATTAAACCCAGCACTGCCAACCATGTCCCCAAGTGCCACAAGTACACTTTTTTTAGAACACTTCCACAGGCTGGTGACTCCACCTGGGCAGCCTATTCCAATGCCTGAACACCCTTTCAGAGAAGGCATTTTTCCTGCTAACCAATCTATCCAATTAGTGAGATCCCACGCTCCAGATGGCAATGACCCAGCTTCCAAAAACCCCTGTGCTGCAGCAAATCCTGATGCTGACTTCACCCCGCAGACACAGGTGGGTGCAGAGCTGACCCAGCACAGACCCCAGGGTGTGGAGTACCCACAGCCACCCCGTTCCCCCTGTGCCCTGGCCAGGAGGGTGGCCATGAGGACAGTACCTTTGGCTTTGCAGACAGTGGAGTAGTCGCTGCAGCAGCTCTGGTAGTACACACAGAGGGTGTCACACTGGCACTTGTGGCCTGCATCGAAGCCTTCTTCACAGCGGCCCTCGCAGGAGTCTGCAAAAGCCACCCCACAGCTCAGGAGGGGTAATATGGAGTGGGGCAGTGGGGCCCATGTCTCCCCTCCTAGCCCAGCCCCATGGAGGAAAACAAACTTGGGGATGTTCTGGTTGGGGGTAACCCATCCCTTCATGGTCAACTCCATCACCAGGGGCTACAGCAGCTCCTTGCCCTGCTCCCACTCAGGTCCTGCTGGGATGGGAGCCATGGGCTGGGCTGTGCCATGCTCCCAGTTCCGTGCTGGCGGCCCAGCCGTGGGTGGGCAGGGATTTGCCAAGGCACCATTGACCCCCATGTGCTGCCCACTTGCTTTCTCCCCATCCTGCAGGGTACAGCCAATGTGGCCGTGGCCACCATCCACTCCGTTCCCACCCTGCCCAGGCTGTCCAGCCCCTCCACCAGCCCAGGAATCACTCTTCCTCCATCCCCAAAGCACCTGGTAAGGGGTTGGCTGGTTAAATCTCACCTTCTGCAGCACGGGTGGTGGCAAGCAGGGCCAGCAGGAGGGCAGGGAAGAGCAGCCTCATCCTGGGTGTCCCTCCTGTGACTGTGTGGGCTGGAGCACAGCTCAGCCCCAGCATCCAGTGTTTGCTCAGCCTGCCCCGGCGGGAGAAAGCAAACAGCCCAAGGTCGGAACAGGGGAAAGGGGCAGAGATGATCTCCCACCCAGCTTCCCCCACAGTCCACACTGAGCTGGGTGTTGTCTGCAGGGGGACAGGGCTGCCACAAGTGCCAGCAGCTCCTCCCCAGCCCCGGTGCAGGTTGGGCACTGTTCAGAGACTGGGGAGGGACAGCAGAAAGACAGTCAGGAACCATCTTGAGGTCCTGCCACACTTATTTCATAACATACCTCATGGTGTAAAAGCAACCAGCTGTTTCCCAGCCTGGTCTTAGAAAAGAGAAAAACCCAAATCAGATGGGATGGAGGAGCAATGCTCAGAAGACAAAGGGAAAAGCCCCAGGCTTATGCTTGCCCAAAATATCACCATTTTGGAGGGTTTATTCTTGGGATTTCAGCTTTCTCAATGTCAAGGCTGGGAAGAGACCTGGGGAGCACCAAGGCAGGGTGGCTCAGGATGGGGCAGGTGCCACCTCTGTGGTGGGGACCAGAGGCCAGAGGTGAGCGGCCGGGGGCAGGAGCCCTCAGTACTTTCACTGCAGAAGGCAAACAAAAGCCTGTGTATTTTGCTCCCGTCATTCCCTTTCCAACCAACCTTTCAGTTACTAATTAATGTCGACTCAGCTCTTTTGGCAGCTCCTGATAACTCTGGGATGTTTATTTAATCGGGGCAAGGAGCAAACGCACACGAAGCTGCAGCAATCCTGATTCTTCTGCTTCTGCTGGGACAGGAGCTCCAAGGGATCTGTCCCAGCCCTTGGGAAGGAGTGGTGCAGCTTTGGGCCTTAAGTGATGCAAGATTTGGCGTGAGAGAAACCAGAGCAGGGTGTCCACTGCTCCAGGGGTCTTTCCACTGCCAGCTGAGACACAGGCAGTTCCTGGCATCATCTGCTCCTGGCATCTTGCTGGAAAGAGCTTTATTTGGTTTTGAGACAAGCATTTCCACCTGGAAGCCCTGAGGAGCTGAGGACAGCTACCAGACATCGGCTTTTGGGGCAGAACTTCTGCAACCCTCACCCCACTCCTTGTCCCCTGGCCTCAGCTATGGCAGGGCTGACATTGTCCCCAAGTGCCAGCACCACCAGCCCAGTGCTTAACCAGTGCTGAACCGGTCCTGTGGGACAACAGCCCTGCGAGGGTTCGGGCTTGCAGGAGGCTCTGGGGGAGAAGGGAAGGGCATTGTCTGAGCTGCTTTGGCTGATCAGCTAAGACAAAGCTCCCTCCTGCTGCTCCAGGCTCCCAACCACCAGCCACAGATCCATGAAAGCTCAGCGAGCCCTTCCCTGCCAGGAGCAGATCCCAGGAAAGGGGTTGGTTGGATAAGGGGGCCCCGGGGAGCTCCTGCAGCCAAGGACTGAGCAGATCCAGTGAGGAAAACTCGGGAAATGGGGCTGATCCTCCAGGACAAGGCTGGGAACTGCTGCAGTTCCACAGCCCAGGCTGCTGGGTCTGAAATCTCTCCCAAAAAGCAAAGCAAAGCAAAACTAAAAGCAAAACAAAAGCTCAGTTCTCTGGGCTAGTCAGGACAAGCCAAAGGGAATGGTTTGAATTCTGCTGCCCCCGGGCAGCAAACCCTCTGCTGCTCTACACTGCAACAGCCCTTATGGTTACCCCTGATTAATAATAATTAATTAATAATAATTCATAATAATTTATCAGGAAATTCCTTACTGGTTCTGTGCCGAGCTTCTCCCGCAGGTTTGCGCTGCTCGGGGTGCCTTGTTCGCCGTCTGTGGATGATGTCCCGTTCCTCTGTCTGTCCCTTCGTAGTGGGTTCAGAGGGGATTAAGAGCGACTCTGTCACATCCAAACATCAACTCGAATTTAAGTCTCAGGCTGACCTGGCAGCAACCTGGTTTTGGAGTCAAGGACTTAAGCTGCTCCTCCCAGCACATCCGAGAAATGCCCAAAGCATTTAAGCATTTCTGCCCTGAGCACGTCTGGCCTGGAAAAAAGAAAACAAAAGAGGCCCAGGCTGCCTCTGCTCTTTCTTTTATCATGCAAATCTCGAGCCCACCCAGAAGAGCTGCTCTGAATTTCCACCAAGCAATGGGTATTTGCCTCCTGCTGATACCAAAGGGTTCAAAACCCTGTGCCAGGGTGGTCACAGCCTCACCGTGACCACCACGGTGCCTGGTGCCCTTTACCTCCGCCCTGTGCCCCCTCGCTGGTCACAGAGGGTCCTGAAGTGGTGTCCTTCAAAATCCTCGGACACAGTGGGGGATGTGGGACAGCAGGACAAGCCCCAGCTCAGGCTGGACAGGGAGGGCTAAAAGTAGAATGGTTTGGGTTGAAAATGAAAAATTGTCTAGCTCCAAATCCTGTCACGTTCCACTCTCCCAGGTTGCTCCGAGCCCCATTAACCTGGCCTTGGACACTTTCAGCGTCGGGACATCCACAGCTTCCCCGAACAAGTACTCCACAAGTAAAAATGTTATCTTAGTATCTAATCTAAATCGCTCATATTTTATTTTAAAACGGCTCTCCCTTGTCCTATCATGTAAAAAGCCACTTCCTCTTTTTCTAATGAGCCCTATTTGAGCACTGAAAGGCCACAATCACAGAAATACAAAATTTAGGTTGGAAAAGCCCTCTAAGACCGATTCCAGCCGTTATCCCGGCACTGCCGAACCATGTCCCAAGTGCCACATCCACGCTTCTGATAAATCACTCCGGGGCCGGTGGCAGGAGGGTTCTGGGGGCATCTGCAGCGGGAGGGGGCTGCACTGCCGGGACCCAGCCCCTCCTTGGAGAGGCGGCGCCTGCTCTCAATGACATCAGCCGCGGGGACCGGGATGCTGAGCCCGGCTCGGGGAAGGCGGATCCCGCTCCGCTTGCAGCTCCGCATCCCGGCGGGGCAGAGGGGGCAGCGGGACTCATCCCCCGCAGCAGCGGGGCTCCCCGCGGGATGCCGCGGTAGCCGCCGCCGATGCTCGCCCTGCTGCTGTCGCTGCACGCCCTGGGCCGGTCCCTGGCCATGGAGCGGCTGGCGGTGCCCGAGTGTGTGAGCCGGGCCGGCGGCTGGGCAGGCGGGGGCAGCCCCCGGGAGCACGGCGGGGTGGGCAGCGAGGCACGGGAGGCGCTGGAGCGGGTCCTGCCCGTCCTCCGCAGGGCCATCGCCCACGCCGCGCAGGCGGCCACGGCCGAGGGGCTGCGGGCGGCCCTGTCCGAGGTGTTCCGGCTGGTGGAGGAGGCCTGGGCCATGCCCGCCGTGGGGAGGGACGTGGCCAAGGTGCTGTGCGATGTGATCCGCCTCGAGGGAGGCCTGGACCTGCTGCTCAACCTGCTCTACACCGCCGAGCTGGAGACCAAGTGCCAGGCAGGAAAACTCCTGGAGCAGATCCTGGTGGCAGAAAACCGGTGAGTCTGCAAAGAGCCCCTCAGCCTCACCCGGCCGGGCACAGCCCTGCCCTGCACTCTTTGGGTTCAAAAGGACCTTAAAGGCCTCATCCCAACCCTGCACGCTTCGGTTCAAAGGGACCTTAAAGGCCTCATCCCACCCCTGCACGCTTTGGGTTCCAAGGGACCTTAAAGGCCTCATCCCAACCCCGGGCACACTTCAGGTTCAAAGGGACCTTAAAGGCCTCATCCCAACCCCGGGCACACTTCGGGTTCAAAGGGACCTTAAAGGCCTCATCCCAACCCCGGGCACACTTCGGGTTCCAAGGGACCTTAAAGGCCTCATCCCAAACCGGGCACACTTCGGGTTCCAAGGGACCTTAAAGGTCTCATCCCAACCCCGGGCACGCTTCGGGTTCCAAGGGACCTTAAAGGCCTCATCCCAACCCCCTGCCCACGCAGGGGCACCTTCCACAGACCAGGTTGCTTCAAGTCAATCCGACCTGGCCTTGACCTACCTTTACCCATCCTCACACCCCCACAAATTTCCCTGCTGTGAGTGTCCTCTGTTTCACAAACCCCCCTCGGGTTCCCACCACATCCCCCCACAGCCAGTGCTTGTGCTCAGAGTCCCTGGCTCCTCTCCAGGCAATGACCATGGCCTGCTCCCTTCCCCCATATCTGGAGGGGGGAGGACCAGCCCCAGCCCAGGGATGCTGGTGAGGACCGGGGTGTCCTCCTGAGCCCCCCTCAGCCAGGTGGAGCTGAGTCAGTTTGGCTCATCCCACCCAAAGGCCAAGACGTGACTCCCCTTTGGCCATAACTGCAGCACGAGGAGGACAAAGCCACTTCCCAGAGCCTTCCTGCTGCTGCCCAGGGCTGGGATGAAGCCACAAGGAGGTGTCAGCTGGTCTGCAGCCCTCAGCCCCTAGTTCACGTGCATGTGCTGCTGCCCAGCACAGGTGAGAGGTGTTGGGATGTCCCTGTCAGAGCATGGGCACGGTGGGGTGGCAGTGTGTGCCTGAGTGTGTGTGTGTGAGTACAAAGGTGCATGTGCACACCTGACACGTCCAAATCACAGCACCCACACACAGCTCACCCTTCCAACACCCCAAATGCACTCTGCCACCTCTGCTCTCCCTCAGAGCACCCCAACCCAACCCCAGCCAGGGCTCTGGAGAGTATGTGGAGGGAGCGTGGCCCAACTTTCTGGGGGATGTCTCTTGCTGGAAGGTTGTGGACTCACAGCCTGGGCCTCACTTCATGCACTGGCAAGAAAAAAAAGCGGCAGCTAAATCAGGAAAGCCCATTAGGGTGGAATTTAATCCCAGGAAGCATCACTGGCACAGTCTGAATTCAGTGCTCAGCTCCTTAGCAAAAGAAAGCATTTGCTGGAGTTGTTTCTGCTCCAGGAGCAGTTCATGGGCCAGGGTCTTGGAGCAGCCATGGCACTCCAGCCCCTCGCTTCCCACAACTTCTGAGCCATGGCAGGGAGGTGTGGGGCTCCCCTTTGGGTCCAAGCCTCTCACTTGCAGAACTCCCCAGTCTGTGCACAGCAGCAGAGGTGTTTAACTGGGAGCTGGACAGGTCCTGGCTCCATCTGCTGCTGCAGGGAGTCGGGGACCTGTGTTTGTCATCCAGCTCCATGGCTGAGTCCGGGCTCGGAGCCAGACCAGGCTGAGGGCTTTTTTTTTTTTTTTCCCCCGGGCTCTTCACAACATTTCCTGTCAAACCCACCCCAAGGTCAGTGAGAGCCCTGTGGGTCACAGGCTTCCCAGAAATGTTCTTCCTGCCTGCCAGCACAGAGGCTGGTGTGCCATCACCCCACCACGGCTGGGGACCGAGCGTGCCACTGCCCTCCTGAGCAGCAGTGCCAGTGCTGCCTCACTAACAGAGCAGCTCCAGCACGGCACCAAATGGCCACTGCTGAGGGTGGAGCTGCCACTTGCCCCAGGAAAGCTCATGGGAGCACAGCCAAGAGCTCATCTCGGAGGGTGGTAAGGTCTTGGCACAGTTTGCCCTTAGAAGCTGTGGCTGCTCCATCCCTCAAAGTGTCCAAGGTCAGGTTGGACAGGGCTTGGAGCAACCTGGTCTGGTGGAAGGTGTCCCTGCCCATAGAAGGGGCTTGGACCTGGATGAGTTTTCAGGTCCCTTCCAACCCAAATCATTCGATGACCCTGATTTTCCCCTTCCTCACTGCATTTCAAGGCACTGCTCCATTCAGGTGTCATTTTAAGCACAGGCCTCCCAAGATCAGCCATGGCCAAGCAGCAGCTGGTGGCCCTTGGCCACCTACCCCAGGTTCTTGCTGTCCTCTTCCAGAAGAGTGCAGGGTGAGAAAGTAAAGAGCTTCCCTCCAGCTGCCATCCCAGGACAGACAGACCCCCAGACATGTGGACACGGCTGCTTGGCTGCTCAGCCAGGTGTGAAAGCCCTGTGCTGACAGCACTGACAGCAGTGCTTAGGCAACAAACAAGTTTCACTCCCAAACACAAAACAGCTCCACACCACAGCAATGCTGGCCCAGCAGATCCATTTCCAGCCTGTCATTAACCCACCCTGCCTGTTATTGCTATGAAGATCCTACCTCGAGCATGAGAGCATCCAGTGAGGGGGTCCTGGGCTGTGCACCCCATCACAAATTCTTCCATCAGACCCACACAGGCTCCTCCAACACCAGCCTGCTGCATCTTGCTGCATTGCATATCTGGGAGCTGTGTCCTACAGGAAAACATCTCTGTCCTGGGATAAATGTCACCAAGGCACAGGCCACACCAGTCACTGCTGTCACTCCTTGCACGTCCATCTGCCCCTCCTCCCCATCTCCTTCCCACAGGGACCGCATCGCTCGGATCGGTTTGGGCGTAATCCTGAACTTAGCCAAGGAGCGGGACATCCCCCAGCTGGCTCAGAGCGTCTCTGGGATCCTGGAGCACATGTTCAAACACACAGAGGAGACCTGCTTCCAGCTGATCTCCGACGGGGGCCTGGACACCATCCTGTACTGGTGCCGCTGGACGGACCCCGCCGTGCTGCGCCACTGCGCCATGGCCTTGGCCAACTGCGCCATGTACGGGGGCCAGGCCAACCAGCGCCTGATGATCGAGAAGAAGGCGGCAGAGTGGCTTTTCCCCCTGGCCTTCTCCAAAGACGACGAGCTGATCCGGCTGCACGCCTGCCTGGCCATCACGGTGCTGGCCACCAACAAGGAGATCGAGAAGGAGGTGGAGCGCTCGGGGACGCTGGCGCTGGTGGAGCCCTTCATCGCCTCGCTGGACCCCGAGCAGTTCGCCCGCGAGATGCTGGGCAGCAGTGACAACATCCAGGGGAGGACGGCGCAGGACCTGCAGCGCCTCGTGCCCCTGCTGGACAGCTCCCGGCTGGAGGCCCAGTGCATCGCCGCCTTCTACCTCTGCACCGAGGCTGCCATCAAAGCCAGGCAGAAGAAAACACAGGTAAAGGGTAGGTTGGCCTGGAGGAAGGTGATGACAAAGGGAAGGGGTGCCACAGCTGCATCTCGGTGTCTTTTGCTCGCCAAACACCTTGGTTCTCACCTGGCCCGGCACAGCTTGTTGGGAAGAGGATGAGGGGAAGCAAAGTGATGTCTCTTCCCTTTGTGTCCACAGATTTTCGGTGAGATTGGGGCTACACAGAGCCTGAAGAGGATTGTGTGCTACTCCACCAGCAGTACCACCTCCTCCCTGGCCAAAAAGGTGCTGCGCATGATTGGGGAGGAGGTCCCTCGGCGCATCCTGCCCACGGTTCCCAACTGGAAGTCCTGTGAGGTGCAGACGTGGCTGCAGCAGATCGGATTCAACAAATACTGCCAGAGATTCCTGGTAGGGCTCTGTGCTGGGGGAGGGACACATGGATGGACACTTCTGTCCCATCTCGCAGCAGATGTGCAAGCATCTCACCCAGCTTTTCCTGGGACCTTTCCAGCCTGGATTTCTCTTGGCAGGATCACCAGGTGGATGGGGACATTCTCCTGAGGCTGACAGAGCAGGAGCTGCAGAAGGATTTGGGGATGGACTCCAGCATCACCC